TAAGGCTACGCTGTCCCGTTTCCATGGCGGTGTTCAACGTCCGCAATAAGAAAAATAGGTCAATAGGCTGCACTCGCACGTACACTGGACACACTGGGTATTAATGTGTGCTGTGTGTCCGAAACTAGGATCAATGACCTTAATGGGGTTGTTGAATTAACTGCACCCGGCTTATCCTTTCAGTATTGGTTGCACACATCCGGAGAAGCCGATGCAGTACTTACGGGTCAAGCTGATGTAGGTATCATTCTAGGCTCAAGGCTGAGTCATCGTTGGTTGATTGGATTCCGATGAACAGCCGTTTATGTGCAACCCGTTTGGCGACATCAGCTAAGTTTTATTCACGAATTAGTACAAAGCGCTGTTTGTTTATGATTTCCGCATATGCCCCCACCGACTGCAGTTCTAATGCTGTCAAGGACACATTCTATCACGAACTGAATGCACAGTGCTACCAGTTTAGATAGTATAGTACTTGCAGGGGATATGAGCGCACAAGTAGGGCGTCTGAGCTTTTCAGAAGCTCAGCTGGGTGGCAACTGTGGGCTTAACTCCGAACGGACTGACAGCGGCGAACGTCTACTGTAATTGTGTGGTGAGCACCAGTTGTTTCTCAGTAGAACTGCTTTTAGACATAGTAGGCGACGAAGTGCCACTTGGCGTCCTCTTGTAGCTGGCCAGCGGTGGACCCAAAATGACCACATTGCCATAAATTACAGGTGGCGTGGTTCCATCCTAGATTGCTGCTCGTACTGGAATACCTGCGTCGAATCTGATCCTGCTTTTATACGCTGTCGTTTTTTCATGAGCTTTACCAGGAGGCGTACCAAGCGTCTCCCCCGATTGACAACTGAGAAATTGTCTCAGCCCTCGGTCAGGCATGCCTATCCACACGCACTGCGTACCGAACTTACGCTGTCTTATCCTAATGACACTGAACATCAGTGGAACGGGATCTCGGAAGACATGCACGACGCAGGAACATCTGCTTGTAGCACTATCAATCGTCGCCGCACTAGTCACTGGATATCCAAGAGGTCGGCGAACCTGTTGGAATCCAGAAGAAACCTCTCGGCCGGTTCTGAGCACAATGTGACTAAAGCGAAATCTATCTGATAACAAGGAAGCCTGGTGGACCAGTAGCGCTCGAGAAATGGAGGAGGCAGGAGCAGTAGTCAATTACCGCAAGCTCTTTCAGCTGATACGCATCCCTGGTGCCGGAAACCAGGCGTCAGTGAGGCAATCACAGACAGCGCCGGTGCAGTGATACACAATAAGGAGCGCCGAATGGCTTGTTGGGTGAGTAATGGACAGTTAGTTTAGAGCCAACATCAGAGGCCGAGGTCCGAAACTCGATTACAACCCTCAATCGTTTTCGTGCCGCTGGCCCGGATTACCTCCCACTTGAACTGTGTAAGGATGGAGATGAGGTCTTCTGCAAAGCACTAACCTCCCTATTCGAACGTAGCTGGATGGAAGTGTGTTCTGGTTAAATGGAGCGAATCGATTATAGTGGCAATACACAAGAAGGGCAGTCGCACCGACTGTGCTAACCACAGGGGTATTAGCCTAACGCCAGTTGTGCAAAATTACTGGCCTCGTATCTCGTACGTCGCCTAACTGTAAAACAGAAAACATGGAACTGGGAAAAGGAAGCAGGTTTCCTCCCAGGACGTGGTTGCATAGCCCATATATTGAGTCTGCTGCAGAAGCTAGAGCAGCGCCACGAATATCACAGACCGACAATAGCTGTGTTCCTCGATTTCAAGAGTGCGTTACATTAAGTCGATCGATCCATTCTGTTCCAAATACTTGCATGGAAAGGTGTTCCCACAAAACATGTGAACATCCTACGTGCTCTATACTCGAACACTACAGGCCGCGTCAGGGTCCACGGTGAACTGTCGGACAGCTTTCTGACCACAAGTCGCGTTCGTCAGGGTTATCCGATTTCCCCATTCTTCTTCAATTCCGTCGCGGATTCTATCTTGAAGTGTTTCATTGTGGAATCTCACGATGTAGGCGTTGAGGTCCTGCCTGGTGAAAGGTTAGTTGATCTTGATTATGCTGACGATATCATCCTGCTTTTCAACGATATTACGACGGCACAATCAACCATGAGTAGCCTGTCTAGAGTGGTCCCATTGTTTGATATGCGTTTCGCACCTTCAAAGTGCAGTGTTGCTGCAAGACCACCAGAAACTCTATGACCCCTTGACCCTTGCTAACGAGGAGATCGAGGTGGTTAATCAATTCACTTACCTTGGCAGCGGCATCAGCAACGATGGGGGTATAGAAATCGAAGTCAGTTCACACATTGCAAAGGTCAGAACTGCCTTCTTGAACCTGCGGCATCTCTGGAGACAGAAAAAGTTTTCCATCGTCTGAAAGGCCGTGTATACAAGGCCACAGTGAGGGCCGTCGTGCTCTCTGGTAGTGAAATTTGGCCCCTTCGGTCTAACGATCTCAGGCGCTTTCAAGTCTTTGGTCATGGTTGTCTGCGAAGCATTGCTGGTGTCGGACGGCACAAACGTGTCCACAAAGATGATGTGCGTAGGATAGTAAAAGGTAGCGATAATCATGCTAGCTCCATAGAACAACAGATAGCACTGAATAAGTTGCGTTGGCTCGGGCACGTGCTACGCATGCCTGGTCACCGCTTACCTAGGAAGCCCATGTTCAGTCTGCCAGGTGTAGGAGGGCGCAAAGCTCAAAGTGGACAGAAGTTGACTTGGCAGCGGAAAATGAACTCACTGACGACCAATCTGGGTGCGGTTGGTCCTCCTCGCCTTCCTGTCTGAAGTCCACATAACTCGCCTTGTGCTTGGCTCAAGAGTTTACAGAACATGGCTCGCAGTGGCGCGTCTGCTGCCGTCTCCTAGCCGGATTACCTGTTAAAAGTGTGTTTGGAGCTGAGTTATCTGCGGCGTAATGGCTGATTATGATGCGGGACAGTGAAAGCCGCAAGGAAGCTATCTCGCCGATGGCGCCTTTGCACGATAGTCAGCTGTTTGTGACGATATGTTGTCTACACAAGGTGTAGGCGCTCTGATCCGGAATGTTTGCTTAAGGCATTAAGGTTTTCAGGTAAGTCACCCTTTTCTCCCTCGTATTATTCTTTATTCCATAGGTCATCATGGTTGTATGGCAGCGAGGCAGCAGTGCAAATGGTAATATACTGATGTTGTTGATTGATTGTTGATGGTGACTGGACACATTATTTACTAACAACGGAACGCGGTTCACTACAGCGATTTTTGAAGGTTACTGCTGCATGAACGGCATAACTCGTATGAGATCACCTCCATACCATCCACAGTCGAACGGCCTAGCAGAGCGATACTTGGACACCTTCAAGAAAGCGTTACTAAAGGCGAAGGGATAGGGGCCGACGGCCGAGATCCCTGAGAATTTTCTGTTTGCCTATAGGGTAACACCAAACCTGCAAGTGCCTCAAGGTCAATCTCCGGCTGAAGCGCTGATGCAACGGAAACTGCGATCCAGCCTTGATTTGATTAAACCACCTGGCAGGAACAACTTGAGCCGAACTGCAGAATGGAAGAGCAGTTCAGCTGGAGACCAAGTGCTCAAAACCGAGTTTTCTTCAAAGGGCAACCGGTGCTGATAAAGCATTACCGCAACAACCAGGTTACCTGGAATCCAGGACGCATCATTCGTGAAACTGGAAGTGTCACGTATGACGTTGTTGTTAATTCCGAGGTTTGGGTCCGACACACCAATAAGTTAAAATTCCGTTCCTTTACGGACGCATCACTAGCACGCAGTATGTAACCGTTAGACTTGCTCCTCGACACATTCCGTGAGCCTAGAAGACTCCAAATCTGAACAGGAGACTTCACTTCCTACATCTTTACCGGAGTTAGCATCAAGAAGATGGACGGATCGACGCCGGAAGTCAATGATTCCGAGGCAATTGAACGATAAGCTGAAATCTTATGCGATTCATTTAAAAGGGAGAGATGTTGGGGGACACAGACCCTAAGGAAATCGATGGGATAGAGCATTCAGCAGTCCGACTCGAAGATTATTCGCTTGTCTCACGGTTTTGAGCTTGCTTCAACCGATGACAGTTTTACACTTACAGTTTCAAGCTCATTGGGTAGGACTTTATAAACCAATGAAATCGTCTCCTATGTACTTGGTTTTGACTTCTTGCAAGAGTGTTCCTTGTTGGTATCATTCGACTTCCGTTCTGGGCCGAAGGTCTGGGCTTCGGAGGTCGGCACGTTTGCGATACATAGACAACAGTAAGGTAAGTGAACTAAAGAGACGTGCATACACAAACCTCAGTAGATAAGGTGATAACCAGATAAAAATAACAGTGTCAGTCGGCCACGGTAGTAGTATCAGCCATATGAATCGTTTTTGTACATTATGTGATGGTGGATGAAGATGGCCACGGCGATTGATAAGATTTGAGTGCGGAAACCCTCGGAGAATTGTTCTGGTAGTGAGCAGATGACTTTAAAATCATTATCGGAAGCCATATGGCCACAGTCAAGGAGGTGCGACATGACTGAGCTGTCTGAGGACCTCGTTTCACCTGAGTAAAACCTTACCAGAATGTGGTCTCGAATCAGATCTCTCGCTTTCAGGGAGCGCAGTATTTGTACACCGACTACCCTCAACGAAAAACTGACACCGTTATTTAGTTATTTGGTTGTCACCTTACCTACTTACTTCGGACTACCGAGGGTTATGTATGCGTGTTTCTTAGTTCACATGGCTTACCACCTGTATCTCTGTCTCAAGTTATCGAGTCTGATTGTTCAAACAGCTAAAAAGTCAACCCCAGCCCAAGTTGACGTTTTCCATAAAATCAATGCCATGTAAACGTTCGGGTCTTAGCAGAGTTTACAGAACAAATTCTTTACCCAGAAAGAATTTCTGATATTGATGCATATTAATGAAATTGGAATACTTGCTTTGCTGAAGACGAGCATTGCCCGTGACTTAATGTTAAGTGCTCTGGCCGTTGCATGACGTTAAGTTCCAGTTTCACTGCGACTATTAAAACCGCGGTGGCATCCCTTATAACCCACTTTAATATACAAGCTAGATGGACTAAGTATGCTTTTTTGGGTGATGATGCATGTAAGAAATTTGGACTCCATTTAACAGCAGGATGTACCGCTTCAGATTGTTCGACTCGTTCAAACTTCGAAGTCGAGCAGGGACAAACGGTACCTGTTTGTCACTGCTGCATACGAACCCGTAAACTGTAACACTGAGTTGGTGAAAGAGCTCTATCAACAACTGAACGAGTTCCTTCGTTAAAGAAATAGTGTGGGTACTAAGGTGGTTGTTTGCGATCTGGACGAGCTTCATCTGGGCGACTAACATGGTAAGCGATTAATCCATTTCTGTGAAGATGGTCGCGTTTCTTGCAAGCACTAACTTCTGACACAGCACCTTCACATGGCGTCCAACAGCTTCAGACCAACCACGAACTTAAATCCATCACACCACGATCCGTTACCGCTGGAGGTGCTGGGTCCCACTGTCCATCGATCAATACCACAAGCGTGGACCCCGACCATGCACTTGCACGAGCCGATCTGTGAGTGCTTTTCGACGGATGCCCGCAATGACGTTGTGACCGTATAGATACTTGCAAACTGGTAAAGCCCAATGTTCTGAGTGTGGATCAATGTGGGCAAGCACTTGTATTGAGTAAGCACCCACAGAACACTGTTGAAGACCATTAGTTGCATATTCGACAGACGTTACTAGCAGGAAGAAAGCGTTCATGTGGCAAATCAAACTGCCAACGTAGACATTGGGTCTCTACGCAGTCTCTCGAACTTATCGATCCTCGTTGACGTATTCCGGCTGAAAGCGAACAAAATGAGACTCACAAAATCTCAGAACTAAACCGCATGCTAACCTGAAGAGAGATCAAGAAGCCTGGAGGTCTCATCGTGCGACGGAGATGGAAATAACCGCCGCCGTTGGTTATTCCGTCTGATACGGAAAACGGGCAGCAGGAGACCTGGTGTTATCGAGACCAGGCGCGACGATGGTGGACATCTAAAGCACAACTTGTGAAAACGCTCGCAAAACAGTGTAATCAATCTGAGTTATCACTCTCTTTTTCGGGTACTCATTGTTCTTCTCCCTGAGATGTCTCTTTGGATGCGCCCTCATGCACAGAAATCCAACTCGAAACAAGATCGTTGAAAACGAATAAGGTCGCAGGGCAGACAGACTACCTCAGCGCACTTCAAATCCGGGGGATTTACTCTTGTAGATGAGTTTCACAATTTACTGGTGAAACTATGGGAGCAGAAGATTGTCTCAACCGATCGGAGCCGCTCCGTCATAGTCGCAATTTCAAGGGAGGCTCCCGTTTGGAATGCGGTATTCATAGAGGAATCAGTCTGATCCTAATTGCCTCTAAATTTCTTGTGTCTGTCACTCTCCACAGAAGGACTGACACTCGTGAAAGCAGGATTCACGAGGAGCTGTTGTGTTCCCGCTGAGAGTACGGATAACCGATGCAGCCAGTGCAGTCACGATACAGCCAATTTCCAAATCAGAAAAACAAACGCCGCTGGCGGAACTTGAATGGAACACTCGGAAGACAGAATGTACAGGCATAATACGGGGTCAAAATATATAGTTCATGACAGAAAAGACCTAATTGAAAGTTCCGGACTATGGCAACTACTAGATGCCCAAAAAGTCGCCTGTTGGCTGAGCAAGTAAGGTGCATACTGGAGGGCTTCAAGGTAGGTCAATCTGATTGGTCCACTTCAAGGTAAAACGATACCATTGGCTTACTCACATTGGCCAGCCAATCGGCTACAGGCGGCACAAAACCAATCTTCGAGCTGCTTCGATGGCTGCTATGGACGGGCCCCGATAACAGGAGTAACCTGAATTTCTTCGGAATCGAGGCTGCGTCGATCACATTTTCACATTGCGTCCCTGGTTGGAGCACCGACATGTTTACCGGCGACCCACTGTGGTCGTGTTCGTTGATATAAAAGGTACCTTCCATTCGGTGGATCGATGTGCCCTTAGGAAAGAGCTACCAAATACATAAGCATTGTCAGAGCGCTGTACGCGCTTAGTTCGGACAGAATGATGATTTATGTCAAACGGTCCTGTAGCGTGTTTGAAAGCATCCTTGCTGCACTCTGAAAGGTAAGAGAGCGCTGTTTCTTCATCTGATAGCTAATGTTGTTTCTTCTTCCGCTTGCTCCCCTATTCTCGCTTACAACACTGTAAAACCAGCTCTTCCTGCTAGCTCGTTCTCTTACTGGGTGGTTACCATAATACCATCTAACCACCTACGAAATATCAGCTTTTCTTTGCAGCCCCATCGGTTTCTGGTGACGAACGTGGAGGCATCCTGAATACCAATTCAATACACGCGTGTGACGTGCAGCCATCTCGATCTCACTGAGTTCGGTTCTGACCCACGGTGTCATACCTGCTCCTACTAGAAGCACTGCATGCTACAGTCCCCGCCCT